TCACCTCAAATATCCTCTTTGGATTTTATGCTCATCCTCATTGCCATGCAATTCAGAGAGTCCTATCACGGAGGACCAAGTGTTATTCTTCATGAATTGTAGCATTACATGATCAGTGAGTGACGTCTCTGCATCAGGAAGGTTTCCAGAGACTGATGCAAACATCCAAGTTGAGGTTCACGATATGAAACAAAAAGAAAAGACATTATTAGGGGGAAATGACTGCTGAACACAAGCAAAATTTACTAGGAAAGAAAATAGCGAAAAATACAAACAAAACTAGGAGAGCAAAGTGGAAAGAATGAGCTGGTCCTGCAGTTGTTACAAGTTGAGTTACTAATCACAAGGTCATAGTTCAAAATCAGCAGCCCCTCTGACAGGGAAAGATGAGGCTATCTGCTCACATAGAGTTATAGTCTCGGAAACCCACATGGTCTCTTCTACCCTGTCCTACAGGGTGGCTATGTTGGAAAGGACGGGATGGTAATGAGTTTGGAGTTTGTTAAGGACAAAGAAAATGACCACAATGTAAGGGACGTAAAAAGTTCTCAGAAACTGGAATGAAAAGACTGGAATTTCCCCACAATTTTTCACATGTACTCTTGTACACATTTAACATCAAAAGAAGAAAATAATCTCTGACCATTGATATACAATGATTGCTAACGTCAGCAAAGTAAGCTCAGTTATCTCTGAAATTGTGTCGGCAACTCAAAACACTTTTCAGAAGAGTCCTGCAAACCCAACGTGCACGGTGGATATTCTGAAACTTGATTTTCTGGTGCTTCCCAACACACTGACCCTGGATGATTCTTATTTCCACCAATCTTGCTTCTCTGGAAAAACAAATGAGTACAGCAGGCACAGTGCTAATGGAAAGCTCATGAGGGAAAACTGTGCAGAGGAGAAACATTTCCCTAACACTGACCAAATAATGTACTGTCTCGGACCTTTGAAAAGGGACAGGTGTGAAGTCATTTGCAGAAAAACAATCCTTTGAATACAATAGTAAAGAAAGTCACAACTTTCTAAGTTCCGATTGTACACATTTATTAGTGCTGCATAGCATTGAAGTTAATGCTTGCGGTTATAGTGTTTAGAGAGAATGAGAACTTTAACAAATACAAGGGAAATGAGACCATTTTTAAGTATAGAGAGCTTTATGTTCCTGGGGAAGCCAGGATACATGAGCTCCACAGACCAAGAGGCCATGTCTGTTTCATTTAATAATGCATTCCCATTTTACAACACAAATACTAACAAGTAAAATGTTTTCATTAACTTTGTGGGGAGGAGGGGAGATGCCACTTTTACCTACTGTTTCCAGGTTTTTGAAGGTTTCCATCATCACATCTCTGTAGAGTTTCCTCTGAGAAAAATCTAGCAATGCCCACTCTTCCTGGCTAAAGACCACAGCAACATCCTCAATGACCATTGAACCCTAAAATATCACAAACATTTGGATAAGTAACATGTTGAAAAGGAAAGCACAGTACTTCGATGTGTAGACGAACAAAGGGTCAGTTGGATATCTCTAAGGTACTAGAAATGCATCCATTTGTCACAAGTTTCTGTGTTCTACATAAGTATTATAAACATCAGCCTCAGTCCTCCACTAACTACATTCACTTCCTCACTGATTGCATTTTGCCTGAGACTTATAGCACCCAAAAATAACCAAATGTAGTCTTATTCTCTCAGTATGCTCAAAAAATTATCAAGCATAACAGAAATTAGAGATGCTCTCATTCAAACGTCTTTTGGATTGAAAATCTACACTCAGTAAGATAACCAGACAACTAAATAAAATATACAGCATAAAATGAAGGCAAGAGGAAGTATTCACAAGTGGCAGATACAGCACAATACATTGCTTACTTTTGCCCCCACAGCAATGAGAAAACCAGGAGTCCACACAAACACACTGGAAACCTGAGCTAGTCATTTTTCTTCCCAAAACTAGGAGAACAGAAGGTAACTGACTCATCT